AAGCTGGGCATAAAGCATTGTTTAACGGTTTTGGCCATTCTGGGCTAAATTTCTCGAGCCTAACTTTCCTCTTAAGAGATCGGCCTTTTATTTTTAGCTTCTAGAAGAAGAATTCGTAAAAAGCTATGTGTTCTATTTGATGTTTTCACTCTTTATTTTGACCAAACAAGATAATAAATGTTTCTTTTTTCAACATTTAGAACTTTTCTCCTAGAAAAATAAGACTGAGTTTATGTTCAAATTTGGGACCTCATGTTCTTGATGTTATCTGAGAAAATTTTAATTCTAAAAAAAAATGCCTTTCTTCTTATGTCAGTCTACATATAATGCTTTGACTAAAACCCAGCCCCAAGCTCATAACTAGTATTCAGAGACTAAGGAATTAAACAAGTCAGCCCCAAGATAACCCACCATGATAGATCATAAAAGGCACAGGGAGAGTTTGAAGTAATGAATTAAAGCTAAGTTTGGTCCAAAAAAATTATAATAGCTCCCTTCCATTGCCTTTTTCAAGTAAGATTCAGTAGTAGTCTTTTTTTTTCTTTTTTCTTTTTAATTGTTATAATTAAATGAAGTTTACATTTCAAGTTAGTCTCCCATACAAAATTTTTTTTTTATATACATTGTTATGAGACCCCAACTGCTCACCCCATTCTGCGACAGCACGCTCCTTCTCTCCGCCCCTGATTCCCCATGAACATTCAACCAGCTCCTAACTCTCTGTGCCTTCCCATCTCACCTCTGGACAGAAGCTGCCCTTTTAGTCTCTTGTATGTACTTGACTAAGAGGCACATTCTTCGCGAGTATCACTTTATGTCCCACAGTCCAGTCAGTAGTCATTTTTAAGAGAGAGTCTAGAAAACCTCCATTTATACAGAAAATTAAAATTTTTGTCCTGGCAAACTTGCATTTGTTTTGATTTAGATAATAAGGATCTTTTAGTGCATTAAACCCCAAAGTCTGTTTTAAGCAGAGCAAGTAGATTAGAAAATAAAAGTCTCAGTCCCTAAAACTCTGACAAGGTCATAGGGTATATTTTATCAACAGATCAGGAAGGCCAGCCCTACACAGCTGAAATGAAGCAGAGAGTGGAGGTTACTACTTAACATATTTCAAGCAATAAAGTATTTGGAGGAGTTGAGATGATACAGGTTGCCTGAACGATATAGATGAACTTTTGAAAAAATTTTTGCTTTATCTTAGAAATGAAGATGAAATCATAGTTGCAATTTATTTTTATTTATATTATTCAGGCAATAGCCTTAATTAATTAGCTCAGTTTTTATTTTTTAGCCCAGAAGTTGCTGTAACCACTAGGCAAGGACGAGCTAGGTTTATCCAAGTATGTCAATGCTCTTAAAAGGCCATCAGTTTCTAGCTGAATGGCTACATTCCTACCAACTGCAGTATTCTTCACTTATAGCCAGATGGATGCCACAAAATAAGGAGTCCCTTCTTATTTCATTCTTATACCACACAAACCACTTGAAGAATAAAAAACCTAAAAACACCAAGCCCACTGCCATTGAGTCGATTTCAACTCCTAGCAACCCCATAGGGTTTACAAGGCTGTAACGGAAGCAGACTGCCACATCTTTTCTCCTGTGGAATGGCTGGTGGGTTTGAACTGCCAGCCTTTCGTTTAGCAACTGAGTGCTTTAACCACTATGCCACTAGGCCCTATTTTTTCTTTTTCCCAAGGAAACAAGATTTGATCTAGAGCGAAAACACTAAGTGATAATTACTAAATCCACATCCTTTCATCTGGTATAGGAGGCTATCTTTCAGAAGAATACTCTGCCTGATATCAGTTGTACACCATACCCTTATTTCAGCATACTCAACTTAAAAGTAATGTAGATTCAAAAGCATCTAAATACTCTGGCTTCTCTCAGCAGTCTTATTCCTAGTGGTCAGTTTTCACAGAGCCTCAGTCTACCACTTGTCTTGTAATCCTTGAGGGTTACTGAGTACTCCCTGTGCTCTCCTTATAGTTGAGAAACCCTACAAATGTGAGTTTTGTGGAAGGAGTTACAAACAGAGGAGTTCCCTTGAGGAGCACAAAGAGCGCTGCCGTACGTTTCTTCAGAGCACTGAGCTGGGAGAGTCTGGTGAGTTCACACATCACTCAATCCACACAAATTTAGTAAGCATCTGCCATGTTTTTTCTAGGTACTGTTCTAGGTGGTGGGTACAATAATAAATAAAAAGTAAAAACCCTACTCTCATGGAATTTATATTTTAATGGGGGACGACAGATTATAAACAAATAAGTAAATTTTATGGTATATTAGAAGGGGTAAGTGCTGTAGAGAAAAATGAAACAGGTACTGGGGGTAAGGATGAGTCAGAGGAGGCTTCAGTGAGAAGGTGACATCTCAGCCAACTTCAAGGAGCTGAGGAATGAGTCCTACAGATAACTAAGGAACAGCAAGTGCAAAGGCCCTGGGCCTTGAGTTTGAAGACATGTAAATAGTCCTGTGTGGCTGGAGCAGAGTGAATAAGAGAAGATGAGGCTAGAGAGGAAAGGGAAAACCAGATCTTGTCAGGATTTATAGGCCATTGGAAAAATTTGGACTTTTACTCTGAGTGAAATGACAAATCTCTGGAGGGTTTTGAACAGAGAGGTGACACAACTGGACTTCCCATTTGAAAAGAATCGCTCTAGTTGCTGTTGAGAATAGATTGTATCGGGGTAAGGTTAGAAATTAAGGAGTCCAATTAGGAGGCCATTGCAATAATTCAAGCAATAGAAAATTGTGTCTTGGAGTAGGTAGTAGTGGTAAAGGTGATGAGCAGTGTTCTATATATATTTTAAAGGTAGAGCCAATAGGGATTCCTGACAGATTGATGTGAGATGTGACTTGACGCAACAGAGTTGCTGTTAACTGAAATGGCAAAGACCAAGGGTGGAGCAGATTGCAGGGAGGCTAAGGCAGAGTTGATTAAAACTGTAAGGAGTTTCTTTTCATACAGTCCAAAAATCATATCCTTGTCTACTCATATGATTTATTGTGATGCTCATATTTGGCTCTGGGGATTCCATAGTTAGTGTTTTGAATTAGATGCCTAGTGGCATTGGATTGAAACACTAGATGCCTTTATATATCTCAGTTGTGGTTTTATTTATTTTTCATTCTTCAGTTGAAACAACCTGCAACTTTTTTGTGTGGCAGCTCTACAGTAGTCCTTTGTCTTGCTCACTTGACCGTCAGCCTAGTTCTGCAGCTTGGGGTGTCTGACACTTTTATTTGGTTACTTGAACCAGTTGCTTATTTAGAACTAGTAAAAATCTTTGTGATTTTGGTATTGGCCAGCAGTATTTACAGTTGAAAAGTTTGAACATCCTCAAACAGAAAGATTACAAAAGTATGACAGAAATAATGTGAAATTCTAGAAAAATGGAATGGAAATCATGAGTAGTTAAACTGTACCAGTATTGAGTGAGAGGAAACTTTTGTTTTAGATAAGCCTATTTGATGGCGTTAGGAGCTGGCCAACTGAATTCAGTTGGTTTGCCACTGCTTCTGCTTTTCATCCTGATGGCATCTTTGGTTTTATCAAGGAGTTGGATTTCCTCCTTATTTCTAAAGAGAAATGTTTACTCCCTTTCAAACAATACCACCTAAAACTGGGTTTTGACATCTTAAGTGACATGCTTAAGGTTACTCAATTAAGCAGTACTTCCCCAGGCACAGAGGTAACCTGTTGCCATGGAGTCAATTCCAACTCATAGCGACCCTATAGGGCAGAGTAGGACTGCCCCATAGGGTTTCCAAGGAGCGGGTGGTGGATTCAGACTGCCAACCTTTTGGTTAGCAGCTGAGCTCTTAACCACTGTGCTAGCAGGCACAGAGGTAGGGGCATCTTTACTTCCAGTTCCGTAATTCAGACAACAGGCAAAGCTCTTACTATGAGAAATTCCCAGGCTATGAAAGTCTATCATATTCCAAATAGAATCATTAATGTTTAAAGCTAGAAGGATTCAAGAGAGCATCTAATCCTACCTCTTCATATTGGAGATGAGGAAATTGAGACCCATCAAAGTTCGGTGACTGACTTAAAATCCACCAGAACTTTTGTTGTTTTTATGATTAGCTGTATTTTTTATTTTTTTTAATTTATGAAGATAGAATTCACATACCATAAAATTCGCCTTTTAAAAGAATATAATTTAGTAATTTTTAGTACATTCACAAAGTTGTGCAACCATCGCCACAATCTAATTTAAGAACATTTTCATCACCCCCAAAAGAAACTGTGTACCTATTAGCAGTCACTCCCCATTTACCCCTCCCCCTAGCCCCTGACAGCCACTAATCTACTTTCCGTTTCTATGGATTTACCTATTCTGGACATTTCACACAAATGGAATCATACCCTTTGTGTCTGACTTCTTAAACTTAGCATGATGTTTTCAAGGTTCATCCATGTTGTAGTATGTATCAGTACTTCATTCCTTTTTATGGATGAATAATTACATTGTGTGTGTGTGTGTGTGTGTGTGTATGTGTGTGTGTCACATTTTATTTATCCATTCATTAGCTGGTGAACGTTTGGATTGTTTATACTTTTTGGCTTGATTAACTATATTTTTTTTTTCTTATTCAAAAATTTTTTTTAATTGTTGTAGTTTAAATGAAGTTTACATTTCAGGTCAGTCTCCCATACAAAATTTTATACATACGTTGTTATGTGACGCTAATTGCTCACCCCAATTCTGCGACAGCACACTCCTTTCCACCCTGATTCCCCATGTCCATTCAACCAGCTCCTAACCCTCTCTGCCTTCCCATCTCACCTCTGGACAGAAGCTGCCCCTTTGGTCTCTTGTATCTACTTGAGCTAAGAGGCACACTCTTCACGAGTATCACTTTATGTCCCACAGTCCAGACCAATCCCTGTCTGAAGAGTTGGCCTTGGAAATTGTTTTAGTTCTGGGCTGATAGAAAATCCAGGGGCCATGCTTTCCGGGGTACTTCCAGTCTCAGTCAGACCATTAAGTCTGGTCTTCTTACTAGAATTTGCGTTCTGCACTCCATCTTTCTGCTGCTCCATCAGGGACTCTCTTTGTAATGATTAACTATATTTTTTAAAGGTTACATATTATCTGTTTAGCAAAAGAGATAGGGTAACATACATACTAGTGAACACACACATATGATATATGTGTATCTTGATTCTCCTGGAAGTAGGAAAAAAATCAGTTAACTATATGCTGAATATTAAGCTCAAAATTATTGATTTATCACTGCCTTACTTCTAACCCCAGGAATTTCAAATTAGGAGAATTATTAAAAGAAAATATTTTAGCTGTCTTCAGGTGATTCAGGAAATGCTGAAATACAGAGGCTGAGTTCATTTGCATTTCATAGGGTGGTTTGATGGATGTGTGCAATATACTCTAAGCCTCAGCAAAAAAAAAAATAAAGGGTTAACTAAGTCAGCAAATTTTTATTATTTTTTTGGAAGCAAACATGTTATAACTGTGGTTTCAGCTTACAAAATATGTAAATTCACAGCTCAATCAAGTGTAAATACTGCATGTCAGTCAATATATTACTCTGTCTTTTATATTTTAAATAGTTCTCATGATTTTTCCTTAAATCCCAAGTGAAAAGAATGTTTAATCCAATACAAGCCAATCCTTTAATTTTCACCACTGCTCCCTGTATGGTTTCCATTTCTGTTGCCTTCTAAAATTGGGAGCCCCAGTCTGGACAGTGTTTCATCCTGAGCCTGACCAGTATAGCATCACCAGTGGTATATCTTAATCCCTAACTTAAATTGATGGTGCTCCATTGCTACTGTGGATGCAGCTTTCATTCATCAAGTGCTTATTGTAAGTTGAAGTGCAGCCTAGTGTAAGAGCCAGGCCTTGGGATGTACATGGACCCATCAGGAAGCAGACCTTTTTGGAAGTAGAATGGATGAAATGGCCTTGGTGTGGCAACCAGTCTGCCAAAGAATGCAGGTGTTGGATGATAGAACCTCTGACTTTGCTGATTGTTTTTTTTTTTTTTTTTCCCCCAGATAGGATTTATTGAGTACCCTATGTGCCAGGCTCTGTGTCAGAACTGTTTATAAAGATGTGTAAAGGTTAAGCCCCTATCCTTTAAGAACTCACAAGCAAACAAGGGAATGGGCACTTGATCTATTAATGTACTACAGAGGTATAATAGAGACACATATGATATTGCTACTTCAGTCCATATTTCTACCACCAGACATCATGAGTGACATCATCAAGATATTCCAGTTCTACAGTAGAGAACACAGGATTCCCTTAGACTATCACCCTGAGACACTCTTTAAAACTAGAACCGAGCCTGTCCCCGAGGTCACCTTTTAGTGAAATAGCAGAGTGGCACACAAAATAAAGGATATTACCTATAAGATTGGTGCCCTACTTAAAAACCATCAGTATGAGACAAAAAGGTCAACAATTACTCAAAAGCAAAGATGAGAAGATAAGGGGCAGGAAACTAGAGTATTGGAAAAGGAATAAACTGAACACAATTAAAGAGAATCTTGACACATTGTGATAAATGTAACTAATGTCACTGAACAGTTTGTGTGGAAATTGTCAAATGGGAACCTAATTTGCTGTGTAAACTTTCACCAAAAACTCAATAAAATATTATTTAAAAAAAAAAAGAGATATTCCAATCCTGCTGCCTTAATGGAGTATGTATGAAAAGAAGAAAGAATATAGATCATGGACTTCATTTTCCCATTAGTTTGATCCTTATCTTAGGAAGCGACCAACAGCTGGTACAGAGATTCATTTAGCCTCGTTTCACACAAATTATGAATACTTGGAGCAGGACATATTTTTGTATGACACATTTCTAGAAATAACAAGATTTTGAAAGTAATTGAATAATTATATGTATTTATGAATCTAGGAGTCAGTCCTTTTAATCTTTATTCGCATTGTTTCAGTTTAGCTAATGTAAATATGAGGAATTCAGAATAAACTTATATTTTTACTACTGTAGCAGACCAAAAAAAGTTAAAATATTTTTAAAAGTCTGTTTTCCCAACTGACTGTTCTTTTTTAAAAATTGATACTATCTCACAGGGAGTATTCATTCTACTTGCTTAGATAGGCAACAGTTTCATGTAACTTTTGTTAGAACCTGCCTCAGTCTTTGATAGCAATCTCTTGTTAGACAATTCTTATTGTACAATAACACCCCTTTGTTTCACTCTCCATTAGCTACTGACTGACCACACCGTAGAAGAGACAGGAAGTAATGGCTTTTGTTTGAGCTCCATTTAACACTTCCAGATCTAATGAAGGAAAAAGTGATGCTGAGAACTTGCACTACCAAATAATAAAATATACTATGTAGTTTTGTAAATCAAAATGGTGTAGTATTAAGGGAAGACACTAAGAGATACACAAGAATAAAAGGCAACAAAGGTAAATACTATAACATATACAATCCTGCACCAGCAGTAATAACAATAATTTATAAGTAGATACATAGGTAGATATGTATGCTCAATAGGTGTGGGAGGGCATATGGGAGTACCCACGTGCATATATAAGTTTGGCTGTGGATATTTCTATGTACATACTCGTGTATGTTGCATGTATATTCAGATATATAATAGAACACACAGGGGGCACAGTCATGGAAACAACCTAGATGTAACTAAACACCTCAAGGGACTGAGTTACTGGGCTTGAAGGCTAAGGACCATAGTCCCGGGGGATATCTAGGTCAATTGGCATAACATGGAAAACATTCTGTATCCTACTTTAGTGAGTAGCCTCTGGGGTCTCAAAAGCTTGTGAGTGGCCATCTATGATACAGTTATTCGTCTCTTTCTGTCTGGAGGAAAAGAGAGTGAAGAAAACCAAAAACTCAATGAAACAATTAGTCCAAAGGAATAATGGACCACAGGAACCACAGTGTCCACCAGCCTGAAACCAGAACTAGGTGGTGCCTAGCTACCACTACTGACCTCTCTGACCAAGATCACAGTAGAAGGTCCCAGTTATAGAGTCGGGAAAAAAATGTAAAACAAAATTCAAATTCATAAAAAGACCAGATTTACTAATCTGAGAGAGACTAGAGTAACCACCAAGACTTATAGCCCTTAGACACCCTTCTAACTTGGAATTGAAGCCATTCCTAGAGATCACCGAATAATAGACAGGCCTATAAATAAACAATAACACATGTGAGGAAAGTGTTTCTTAGAACAATAATCTACATGAGACCAAAAGGACAACATATGCCCAAAAGCAAAGATGAGAAGGCAGAAGGGGCAGGAAAATCAGAGGAATGGAAATGAGAACTGAGGGTGGTAATAGGGCGAGTGCTGACACATTGCAGGGAGCGCAACCTATATCATGGAAGAATTTTTGTATAAACTATTGAATGGGAAACTAATTTGCTCTGTAAACCTTCACCTAAAGCATAATAAATAAATAAATAGATTATGCTAACCATAAAAAAAAAAAGTTACTTAACAGCTTTAAAAAATGGGGTGGTATTGGTGAAGGAATATGCCTATAGATCAATAGAAAAGAATAAAGTGAGAGAATAAATAGAAATAATCCATAAATATGTGAATTTAAGAAGCCCTGGTGGTACAGTGGTTAAGAGCTTGGCCGCTAACCAAAAGATTGGGTTTTCGAACCCATCAGCCACTGCGCAGGAGAAAGATGTGTCAATCTGCTTCGTAAAGATTTACAGCCTTGGAAACCCTACAGGGCAGTTGAGGGTCACTATGAGTCGGAATCAACTCAAAGACAGTGGGGTTTTTTGTTTTTTGTTTTTTTTAATGTAAATTTAATACATAAAACTAATGAAACATTTTAAATCAGTGGAAAAAGGGCAGAATATGTGCAATACATGGCTTTGAGGAAATTGTGTCTGTACATTGAAAGAAAACTCAGATGTCATCCTATATACAAAAATAAATTCCCAGGTAATTCAAGAGATAGATACACAAAAAATTATAGTGGAGAAAAATATGGGATAATGCTTTTATAGTCTTGTGATTAGGAATATTTTTTCAAGCAAGAATATAATGCTATATACATTATCAAAAAAAAAAAAAAAGCTGTAAATGAAAGATTTTAAACAAAAAAACCCAACACATTCACTTTGAAATAGAAATTGCATCATGGAAACAGTTAACTCAAAATCAGACAATAAACTATTAAGGCTTGTGCAGGAAATAAAGGTAGTTATCTATTCTGTAATTGTGACTGCCTATTATTTTTTTAACGTGTCTTTAAAATCACTTTGCTAATGAAAATTGTTGTATCTATTTTATAGTAGGCAACTGACATAAGGAAAATTGATCCAGAATTACAGTCCTACTCCTTCTATGCTCACTCATGAACCTAGTGTGCAAATTGTTCCTTGCCACCATCCCATATTCCCCACACCCACCCCTTGCAACATTAAACCGCCAAACACCACCCAAGAACGGATTTCCTATTTCGTCATTTAAACCCATTATCTTGTTCCCTTACTATCTTGCCAAACTGGTTTCCCTCCACTTACATTTCTGAGACATGATGTGACAAGATAACAAGTCTAGACTGTTTGTATAAATAGACAGTTGGGTCCTAAAGTTGGAGCAGAGGACCAAAAGTCAATAGTCAGAGCTCTTTTTTTTTTTTTTTTTTTAATTTTCAGTGTACTGCCCAAACTCCTCTGTAATCCCAAAGAGATTGTCTAACTCGAGAGCATTACTTTGTGTTTTAAAGGGTTCTTGTTTATGGTATTGTGCAATAAGTGTCCAACAATTGTGAAACAAAAGACTAATAACTAGGGAAAGGGAATGAGAGTGTACTGTATTCAGTAGAAATTTTAACCTTTTTCCAGTTAGCCAATTAGAAAACACAGTTATAGACACATCCAAACTCCCTGAGGGATTGAATTACTGGACTGAGGGTTGGAGACCATGGTCTTGGGGGATATCTAGCTCAATTGGCATAACATAGTTTATGAAGAAAATGTTCTATATCCTACTTTGGTGAGTAGTATCTAGAGTCTTAAAAGCTTGTGAGCAGCCATCTAAGATACTCCACTGGTCCCACTGCATCTGGAGCAAGGGATAATGAAAAAAACCAAAGACACAAGGGAAAGATTAGTCCAAAGAACTAATATACCACAGCCTTCACCAGACTGAGTCCAACACAACTGGATGGTGCCTGGCTACCACCACCGACTGCTCTGACAGGGATCACAATAGAAGGTCCTGGACAGAGCTAGAGAAAAATGTAGAACAAAATTCTAACTCACAAAAAAAGACCATACTTACTGGTCTGACAGAGATTGGAGAAACCCTGAGAGTATGGCCCCCAGACACCCTTTTAACTCAGTACTGAAGTCACTCCTGAGGTTCACCCTTCAGCCAAAGATTAGACAGGCCCATAAAACAAAATGAGACTAAATGGGCACACCAGCCATGGGGCAAGGACAAGAAGGCAGGAGGGGCCAGGAGAGCTGGTAACCCAAGGTTGAGAAGGGGAGAGTGTTGACGTGTCATGGGATTGGCATCCAGTGTCACAAAACAATATGTGTATTAATTGTTCAATGAGAAACTACTTTGCTCTGTAAACCTTCATCTAAAGTACAGTAAAAAAGAAAAACACAGTTAACTGAGTAAAGTTGGACTTACTCTGTAGAACGTGTTCACATGTACAATGAGGATTGGGACCTTGGAGTTGGTATTTTGAGTAAGTGATTTTTGATGGTCCAGGGAGACGGCGAGGGTGAATGGAAGTCCTCTAGGTTACTTTCAGAAGATTTCTTTCATTCTCACCAGAGATATGGAAATGAGAAAGTCTCCACCCATGCCTCAAATTTTCTATCCATCTACAAACATTCTGGAATTTTATTTTTTTTAATGTCAGGAATTTGGTCACTGATTTACAGAGTGAGATGTGTCTGGAAGTGACTGTCAAGACAAGCTTGGTGGGTAACCAGGGATAAAAGGTGATGTTATCTCAGAGGTTGACATTTAGTGGCATGCCCTAATTACGTTATTTAGGTCAATGCATTCATGCTTCAGCATCCTCCCAAATAGAGAGGATATTGATTACGTGTCTTCAGGAAGCTGCTTGTTGTAATTGATTGTGGCTTTGGTAAATGTAGACAGTGACTTCTGAGAGACCAATGGGAAAACTAGACTGCATCATGATGTTTGGGGCAAGTCCTGGGACTGAATGGACATATCTCTGGGTAACAGTTGAGCCATTTGAGGAGTGACTGCAAGAGACTAATAAGAGTAGTTGTGAAATAGATATAAAAGGTAAAAATTCCCAAAGCACTGTTTTTCATTCTCATTACACTATAAATCTTTTTTATAATAAAAAATAGGAGGGGGTAGGCCTACCTGGATTTCATCCTCTCAAAATCGGTTGAACTAGAATGAACGTTTCCTAGTCAAAGCACAAATTTAGCAGCTTCTCTCATGCTTCTAAGAAAAAGCCTCTTTATGATAGCCTCAGGAACTTATTTTAAATCCCAGGCCTTTGTCTCTCACCTCTCCGTTCATGGGGCTCTGGGTAGTGCCACATCTGGTAGTGGTTTGTGTAAAAGGAAATAATGTATATAATAGTTTCCTGTTTGGTTATTTAAACCTATCCGTGTGCTGGACAGAATTTGACCCACTTCACTCAATAGCAGTGTCCTGTCACGAGTAATTTATAGCTGTTGGTCAACAAAAGTCACAGTACTTTATCATTAGCCCAAAAGCTGCCCAGGCCTCTTATTCTACCCTTAATTGTTTTCATTTACACAAACAGTGTTGTTAATAGCTTAAATACCGAAGACTGATTTATTTCTTTAGGAAAAAGAAACCAAACCCATTGCCGTCGAGTTGATTCCAACTCATAGCGACCCTATAGGACAGCGTAGAACTACCCCATAGGATTTCCCAGGAGCAGCTGGTGGATTCGAACTCTCGACCTTTTGGTTAGCAACTAAGCTCATAACCACTGCGCCACCATGGCTCCTATTTCTTTAGAGCATAGAGTTATTTTTGACAAGAATCTCACTAAGTCTAGTAAATATGGTCATTATCACCATCCTGTTTTCCTCTTACTCATTTTTAAAACCACATTTCATTTTATTCCTGAATTTAAAAAGCTGAGCTTTATAATTTATTGTGTAATGACTAGCGTAGAGTTTTTTAAAAATGCACAATAATGAAATGAAAAATATTTAATACTTTGCATTAAATACTTTTCTAAGTTGGTGTTGGTTCTCTCACTCTGCCCACACTTGGTAGTCTTGCCCTGGAGCTGTTTCCCTATCTTTCATTTACTGCGAAGATGGCCAGCTTTCTTCTCTGTGGGCATGTCCATCGGTGGTAAAAGTCTGAGGGACTATGGAATTTGTGACATTTCTATATATTAGAATCTCTTCACATAGCAAACACAACATATACTTCAACTACAGAATAAATATTGACAGTTCCCAAATGTGTGTATGTATTTGGGGGGAAAAAAATCATTCTAAAATCATCACTTGCTTTTGTTCCTGGGTGTTGCAAATAGTTAATCCACTTGGCCGCTAACAGAAAGGTTGGCAGTTCAAGTCCATCCAGAGGTGCCTCGGAAGAAAGGCTTGACAATATACTTGCAAAAAATTAACCATTGAAAACCTGATGGAGCACAGTTCTACTCTGACATACATGGGGTTGCCATGAGTCAGAATCAACTCAACAGCGACTGGTTTTGGTTTGTACTCTGGCCTCTTAAACTTATTTCAGTTTCTTCTTCCATGGACAGATTAGAAGTGTATGAATACTTGATTTCAGTTTGTTGTTGTGTGCTTTCGAGTCTATTCCAACTCATAGCGACCCACTGTGACAGAGTAGAACTGCCCCATAGAGTCTCCTAGGTTGTAATCTGTGGGAGCAGATCACCAGGTCTTTTCCCCCATGGAGTGTGGGTTTGAACTGCCAACCTATCGGTTAGCAGGCAAGCACTTAACCATTGTGCCACCAGGGCTCCTGATAATGATACAGCAGAGAGAAATGTTTATAGCATCATAGTATGTTTCATTAGGGTCGTTGTTGTTATATGCCTTCCTGTTGAGGTGTCCAACTTGTTGCTGTCAAGTTGATTCCAACTCATAGCAACCCTATAGGGCAGAGTAGAACTGTCCCATAGGGTTTCCCACACTGTAATCTTTTTGGAAGCAGACTGCCACATTTTCTCCTGTGGGGCGGCTGGTGGGTTCAAGCAGCCAACCTTTCAGTTAGCAGCTGAGCGCTTAACCACTGTACCACCAGGGCTCCTTCCATATGGGTGCCACAAAGTTTAAATCATTTACTGTCTGACCCTTTACAGAAAAAGTTTGCTGAAATCTAGGGTAGCACCATGTGTTAAAGTTTGAAGCCTTATATTTGAGCAGCTAGTATCTCTTTAAACTTTAGGCATAAACTCTTGTTGGGTACTGCCTGCTGTCCCAAGGTAAATTATGCTATACTTATCCCAATATGCTATTTTAGTTGATTATATGTGGGTACTCTGTATATACCCTTCTAGTGGTTCTCAATTCTGGCTGCATTTTAAAAATCACATGAGGAGGTTCGAATATATTGTTGCTCAGGCCCCTACACCAGAGATATCAATTTAATTAGCCTAAAGTGGGGCCTGGGCATAGATATTTCTTACATGCTCCCCAGATAATTTTGATATTCAGCCAGATCTGAGAACCACAAGCTTACACCATTCAGAGGTCTATTTGTGTATTGACAGCCCATATTCTAGGCAGCTTTTATTCACACTTTTCATTACAAATATAATATAGCTGCATTATACAAATTGTTCTTTAATTTCAAGACAGAAGTGTTGCTCAGGGAAATATTAGCTGAGACAGTTTTGAAATGTGAAGAGCATATGAAACAGATAATGCAGAGCCCAGAGAAATAGAATTTAAAAGATAGACACTGAGAGGAGCATGCTGGGAAACAAAAAACACTGAGAAGTTCAGTACACAAATCACTGAGTAGATTTCTTGCTATCTGGGTAAGTGTATCTATTTTCAATAGTGCTATTAACATAAACAGAACAATAAATCTAGGGCACCATACTTTTTTTCAAAGTTGTTAAGAAGAATTATATCAGTCTGCAGGTGTCACATGCAGAGTTACTCAGAATCAGAAAGAAGGCTGATCAGGGGTTAGAAGATCCCCATCTATCTATCTTTTTGCAACCAACCACGTCCAGGCTGTTTATTTAATACTTCCTCTTGCTAATGAAGGTACTGGTTGGGGATGGGTCGGGCTTTCCCATCTCAGCATAAGACTACAAGATTTGAATGTGCCCTTGTGCCGGCTTCACTGACCACAGCAGGTACCCCAGGCAAGACTTCGAGCAGTAATAACAGGTAGCAACAACAGAGTGTGGATCAGACCTCTGACACTTCTTTATCCCCCTTTCTTTCTATTTACCGTGTTCTTTTCCTTCTTTTTACATTTTTCCAAACCAGCAAGTGTGGAGGCAAGACACATCAAAGCAGAGATGGGAACTGAAAGAGCTCTCGTTCTGGACAGATTAGCAAGCAATGTGGCAAAACGAAAAAGCTCAATGCCTCAGAAGTTCATAGGTAAGAATACAAACCTTTTTCCTGCGGCTGTTAGCAGATAGTTTGAATGAGGTAACATAGGACAGGCCCTTCCTACCTTAATCTCTGTTTAAATAAGGTAATTGGCTTTCAGTTGTATGCTTTTATTCTTCATGGTTCATTTTGATAACTAGAGCAAATAGAATAAAGATTTTAACTACAGAATCTTAACTACGGATGATAGGAGTGTTTGGTGTCCAATTTCCTAAATGGAGTTGGTACTAAAAATGCTGCTTCTTCCTCTTTATTCTGAATGACATATGTTACATGAGAGCATTTATACAGTGTACACCAGTAAGATGTTTGTGATAGCATTTTTGTAATCTTTTGTAATTATATTTTATAAGTTGATTCTGTTGGCATGCTCAAACTTTCTTCATGCTCTAGAATGTATTGCCATATATTTTTTTTTAATTTGATTGAGAATTGGCTTTAAGGGAAAGTGGTTGGGAAAACAGATTTAAATAACAAGGTTTGAGTTACTCATTTGTCTCACCGGAGTTCCTTTTTATGCCACTGGTTTTCACATTGTCAAAAGATACAGCAGAATGAGATGGCTAAGAAATAATTATGTTCATTAAAGTGTTAGGACTGCTGAATGGCAGAGATATTTTTCTGAACTTTTCCAGATGTTTACATAAATATGATCATGGTAATTAAAATAGATTTGTATATTTGAAGTAGGCAGCTGAATTGAATGCATCAATTGTGCTATAAATGGAAAGTTGGTCAGTAATATTGAACAAAAATCATTGCCAAACAAAAATAGAACTCCCTGCACAGCAAGGATGTTTTAGAAACCTGTCAGTCTCTTTTTCCAAGGCTGCTTGCTGCTGTTGGTTTTTCACTTCAGTCCTTTTGTGTTTATTCTTTTCGGTAACTTTTACAGATATTAAGTGCTTGCTTGGTTTTTAAATCTGGCTAAATTTTATTCTAATCTAGATAATTTTGTACATGCAGACATTCTCTGTGAACCACAGAGATATATTGAAAGAGCCCATATGTTTTGGGATTACCTAATGTAGTATTTATTTCTGCTGCTTTCTTTAATTTTGATGAGCTGAAAAGTTTTTGTACACTTTCAGTCACTTTAAGAATAAATTGTGTCAGACTAAGTTTGGTGCATTTCAGTTTAGACACATCCCCTCCTTCTTCTCGTCTTTCCTCCCCTCAGTGAGACATGTCGGGAGGCATGTAGTAACAAGAGTTTAGGCACAGTGGACCAGCTGTGATTCCAAGAAGCTGTCTTAAAACATTGCCGTTCTATCTTTCGAGCTTTGCTTATGTGATGAGGTTGTGACTAGAGTACAAAAGAAAGCTTGGATCATTATTCTGTGCTGCAAGTATGTTTTAATTTGGGGAAAGTTTTGACTCTAGAAATGGCTGAAGCAGATTAGGAACATGGGGAGAGATGAGTGAGGGGAAAAAAAAAAGTAGAGTTATAGTCAATGCATTTTAGTCTAAGAGAACTGAAAATAAGGTACCTAGTTCTTACAGCTGCCTTGAACCTGTAGATGAGTTAAAGCCCTATTTAGTATAATAAAAGTCACTTTGGTATTTTCATGGGTTTAGAACATTTCATATGACCAAACCCATGCCACTTTGCCTCTTGCCGCAGGGCCTCGGGGATCCATTCCATTTGTTTGTTACCATTTCTACCAGAGAGTTTTTGCTCCTCCATTTCCAGACTCATGAGAGATGCTGATTTTGTAGGTACTGATTTCTCTCATCTTCTAAACCATCGTGTTCTCTCTGTGCTAGAATCAGGAAACCCAGTAGAGTTAGCTCATAATTTGAGCTGAGATAGCAACCACAGGGCATTGGGGCCCAGAATAACCGGGGGAAAATTTTTTTGGTAAATTGTGGTGTCATACAATAGAAAGAGCGCTGGACTGGAAGAGCCCTGGATCAGAAGTCAGAAGACCCAGGTTCCGATTCTAGCTCAGTCATTTCTTTACTGTGTGTGCTTAGACAAATCACGTAACCTTTCTGGGGCTCTGTTGACTCATCTGTGAAATGAGGAGACTGGATAGGTGATGAAGTGATCTGGAAGGCCCCTTCCAGCGCTAACATTCTGCAAGTCTGTGAGATGAATAAGAAAAGAAATCCAAGGCAGCAATTATGGCTATCACTTTGTGTTTCTAAAGTCCATATGTGGAACTTGAGGTAACTTTTTTCTCACGGTTGTATAGATATGGTTTTTTATTATATATGGTTTATTATAAGCCATATTATGTGTCTTAAAGGTTTTTTTTTTTTTTTGAGGAGGATGTTAAATCTGAGGATCTATAAAACAGTTGTATTTGCTTAACATTCATATAGTTTACTTAGGCTATCACTACATGCAAATGGTCATAGAGCTCTTGTGACATATGTGATATTCATAGGCCCTGTTCTAATCTTCTGGCAGTAACTTATATCCTGCATCTTTGTTTTAGGGGAAAAAAATGTTTAATAAAAGAAACTGCAGAATCATTTAACTGAATCGACCTTTGTGATAGAAAACAGTAATGTCAAGGGGAAAAAAAGGGACAGTTATCTGTGACACTGTGCAGGGTATGAGATGAAGTGTTATAAAAGATTTAGGGCTCATGTTTTCCCTGTTCTGTTCTCCTATATTTCCTCTCCAAGACACCAGTTTCTGAACAGATTCAGCTGCCCGGGAAATGGCAATGGGTAAAGTGTGAAGGAAGAATGAGTCACTCCCTTTAATCCTTTGCTGACAGTTGCACAGCACTCAGACCATCCTTGGCTTCCCTGACCTCTTGAACTGTGAGGGTAAAGGGAGATTATACCATCAGGTCAGCTTGTTACTTTCCTGGCAGGCTAGAGGTATTACCAATAGGTAGCATTTTTCTCCATTAGAGATGAACTGAGGAAGGGGGATTGGATTAAGTCTAAATGCATTTAGAAACAGAGAGCATGCGTCTGTTGAAGAGTAAGAGTAAAATTAAATTGCCCAAGTAGGAGCAAAATAAAACCATTTTTTGTCTAATTCTCTAAGAAATGTTCTGTCACTTTCTGTAAAATAGGAAATAAATGGACATACCATCCATCAAATCAGCTTCTTTACATCATCAAAATACTTCTTCTTAGCTGTTCTTTTCAGAGACAAGAAGACTTGACTTTTGGCATCTTAACCCTTTTAGAGGTTTTCCTTTCTCTGAATCTTGTCCTCCTGCTATAAACATATTTGACTATACTTCCAACTAGGCCATCTTCAAATACTTGACTCAAGATGGAGTCCAGATTTCTCTCCTAGAAGGAGGAGAAAAATGATTATTTCTGCATATTTCTTATTCCTGATTTTCATTATTTTCCCCAAAACAGATGTATTATTCAGACCAAAGTGGCTATTATAGCATCTCCTTTTTTTTTAATTTTATATATTACTTTATTAAAGGAAGTTTTCATGTTGAAAAGAGCATGAAAAAAGATCTCACTCACCAGTGGTAAACATGTTAGTGAGGTTTTGACACTTCAGCAAACACCATCAGTTCTCCCTGTGAAGTAACTAATGACAAATCGTCTGCTTTGGTTAACAGAGCGACAGGAAGCACTTTTAATACTTGTTTCTAAGAGCAAAAATTATCTTCTCCCACCCCTTCCCAAAGGCCTGAAGTCCATAATCCACTAAGCATTACAGTCATAGCATTTTAAAGCTTGAAGGGCTGAGACCACCAAGTAAAGATCTTTTACCACAGAGGGAAGGCAGATCAGAGAGATGAAGAGACTTAGCTGGTATGTGACAGAGCAGACCAGAACATGGATCCATAAAGTGCTGCAGTCTAGGGCCTTCCTTCCCCAGGAGGCCTCCAGAGCAGTGCATATTATGGTGCCACACAGGGGCTTTGACAGGGAAGAGTCTGCTCATTGAAAGCTAGTGGAAGAATGCCCCGAGGAAAGGCAGTCGTTCTCCCTCAAGGGTATGTTTCCTTGAGAAAAGAACTGTCTTCCCCTGGTGACTCCATCAGGACAGATGACATCCAAATGGCTCTTCACAGTGTCTCACAGAGGACAAAGGCTTCTGCAGCAACAAAACGTGATCTCCAGCTCAGTTTCCCTCGCCGCTGCCCCCACTGCTCTCTCTGTTCTCTCTCCTCCTTCCTGCTTCTTGTTCTGTGGCTACCCTCCGTTTTCCTCCTAGTGGAAGACGTGTTAGTGATTTTAGTCTCATTTAGAATGAGATCAGAGCCATGATGATCATCAGATATTCCATTTACCCTATTATCCTGACTTCTTATTTGTTTGTTTTGGATGTGGACTTGCAATAAGAGTAAGTGATAATCCATGTGAGAAATAGTGTGAATATAGCAGCAAAAGCACTTAAGCGACTTGAAGGAACTTAAAGAAAACCCCATCATGGTGCCTGTAATGTTGGAATTGTGTTATTTTTCTATAGCTCTAATCATTCCCCCCACCCCTTCTTCAAAAACCTTTCAGTAGCTCCCCACTGGGATAAAATCCAGACCACTCAATCAGGCTTTCCAAGCCTCCCACAATCTGTCTCCAACTTAACTTTTTAATTTGATCGTTTCAGCCATCTAATCCTTTGCTTCAGCCACAATGAACTACTCATCCCACCTCTGTGTAATTGGTCTTTTTGTGCTCTGTCTGGAATATCCTCCTTCACATCTTCCTTTAAAGGTCTTTTAAGGACATGTTGTCCACATCCCCATACCCTGAATTCTCTCTCTGTTCTGTTCTCCCTCTGAAGTCAAGTTTAATAGTCTGCTTTTTGTTATGTCTATAACTGTCACTACCACCACCACCACTACAACCCCTTAGATTACAAGGAGACTTTAAAGAAGAGACGAACATTTGTCCTAGGTTAGGTGTGGCGTATTTGAGAAGTGGTCCATATTTTTCTCTCTCCCTTCTCTTGGCTACTCTCTACTTTGTTCCACCACGTAGCACTTAAGGACACTCATTTGTAATGAAATTGTGTAAATGCTGCGTCTCACCTATTGAATTGCAAGTTTATGTTTGTATTCCTCAAAACATCTGACATGATGCTATGCAAATTTTAATAATAATAATAGATCTACTACTTACTGACTGCCTGCTTATACCAGGCACTCTGGTAAACACTTTATAGACATCACAACAACTCTGCATCATAAATATTTCTTGAATGCATGTGCTGGTCCATATGGAACAAAGCACAGTTGTTGCCACTAAGCCTCTTTTTCCTCTACTCATGGGAGCCGCCCCAGCTGAGAATCTGAAATCACTGCAGTGATGGGGCTGTGCAGCCATGGGCAAGGCAGCAGCAGGGAAACAGCAGTTGAGACTCAAACATTTACTGAGATATATGGGCCCTTGGATTGCATCCTGGTTCTCCATTTACCCACTGGGTGACCTTGGAAAGTTGATCAACCTGTGTGTGCCTTAGGATCTTCATCTAAGAGATGATAATTCACACCTTTTAGGACTGATGTGAAGATAAATGAGTGAAGATAAAACAAGATAATATATGAAGTAGCTGGGACAGCGCTGGACATATAATAGGAGCTCAGTACAAAGTAGCTATTATTAGTAGTGTTACCACACATAAGACACAGTGGTAGGTACTGTGAAATATAATGACCAGAAGGGAACAGATCAGGGTAGTGGATCCTGTCTCCTGACTCTTAAGGCAGAGATCTGAATCCACAAACTCAGCTAAGGTCCCTTTTAGCTCTTAGTCTGTGATTCTGTACTTCCAGTTCGGCAGTTAGAAGCCAACAACCCTATGCCCTCACCACATGGCAGCAATTCAGGTCAGGGGATTGCTCAGTTTAGAATTACTAAAGTCTACATACTAGAGATTGACACCTTTAAAAAGAATCATAGGTAGGGAATGTGAACCAGGCAGCCTTGGTTTTTAAACTTAGGACTTGCTGTTGCCATTTGTATTTTCATTGGCAGAAAACCTCTAATTCAGCCTGCAGCTGGTATCATGAATCATTCAAAGGTGTGGTGCGATTTTGACTAGAAGCTGGACTAGAGGCTGTGTGCGGGTTTGGAAGCAGTTACACTCTTGTGGTTTGACTAACCTTTTTTATGAGTGTGTTACTAAAGAAACGTGAGCTCTTGGCTTTTCAATTACTGTAGTTACCCTTGCTGAGTTTCATACCCATTGAGTCATCGTGTCTACAGGTGACTGATAATCATCTGCACCACTCAAGTTACCGTAACTCAGAGATGAGGGGATCTGATGATTACAGGTTGTGTGCACGTGAAACTCTAAGGCTCTCCCATCTTCTTAACAATGAACAGTGTTCTGTGCTAACCACAGAACTCAGTCACCTATTTCCACTCATCCAGGGGTTTATTTTCCTCTTAATGTTTTGCCTCTGACAACTTCAGCACTCAGCTGTTTTCTGACATATGCTGCAGGTGGTATAGACTGTGAAACTGTGGGCCTAGTTAAGTCAAGCAGGCTATTGGGAGAAAGGAAAAAAGCAGTTTGTGATGTGCCTGCCCCGCTCCGGATACTTTCTGGACCCTCTCCATCTGGTGAGAAGATAAAAAGGGTTCCCAGGTATTTGGAGAGTTGAGTAGAGCTGGTCACATTGGAAAACTATCAGTAACCTTGAAAAGACCAAGAAACCAAAGTTCATCATTTCTTTGCCCCCAGAGGAATGAGTGTTTGTGATGTTAGCTGACTTTTGGGTTCTCAGTCTCATTCTTCCAGACAGTCTTGATGAAAGATGTCTCCAATGTGGAAGTTAAATGAGAACCTTTGATTACTTTGGCAAAGGTCTCCTTTTTTGTTGCTTCTTATTGAGTTGCCAAGGCAGGGTGTTTCTCTTTGCATGTTTTTCCTCTTCCTCAGGTATTATCTAGAAATGATCACCATGGCCTTAAGGTAGTGGGGATGCAGGGGATGCTGGCCTCTCTGGCTCCAATTTCCGTCAGTTCTGTTCCATTTTACTCATTGCTATTACATTAATATCCTGAAAATAACATTTGACCACAAGCCTCTCTTGCTCAAGGCGTATTTGTTCAAATCCAAACGCTATGGTTGGTCATTCAGAGTGTCCATCATTTGGCCGCACCATATTTATCTTTTTTCAGTGTTTCCCAAAATGTGGGATGCAAACTGCCAGGAGGCATACAGGACATTAAAAAAACTTGGCTCACATGATTAAGAAAATTATTTTCTTTTTAGTCCTTTTTCAGTTTAATGCTAGTTGTTACTAACAGTGATTTCACACTTGCTAATCTCTGTTTTTAACAAAGAAGATGGGGATCTTAGTCTCAAAGTTTTCTACTCATGGTGGTATCTGATCAGAATTTAATAAATTACTCTGTTTCGTTGTCTTTGTTTTTCATAATTACCTTCTATTTATGGCAAATGATTCTGGTTTCTGTTTGTATTGGTGATATAACGTTTCCTTAATTTTTTTTTTTTTAATTTTAGCCAGAAAGAAAAAGTGAGCTGATTTAAACAAACAAAAAAACCTAACATTTACTAAGTGCTTTCTGTGTGCCAGGCACTATTCTAAGTGCTTTCCAATGACCCCACAAGGTAGATACGATTTTTATCCCTATTTTATATGATGACATGATGGCATGGACAGATTAAGTAACTTGCCCAAGGTCATGCATTTAGTAACTGATGGAGCTAGCATCAAACCCAGCCTATCTGATTCTGGAGCTCATGCTCTCCACCAGAATTCCCTGGTGTATGGATATGTCAGAATGTGAAGGAATACATGGATAAGTGACGTTTGAGGAATACTTTATTTCATGCTTCTTGATAGAACCTTAGCCAGACTCTCTTACTCTTCCCTGCTCATGTCCTGTGTATTCCCACCTCCCTGCTTTCATTCATGCTCCTCTCTAAATCTTCTTGTTGTTAGATGCTGTTGAGTCAGCCCTCGACTCTTGGCAACCCCACGCACAACGAAATGAAACGCTGCCCAGTCCTGCACCATCCCCATGATGGGTTGCAGATCAGACTGTTGTAATCCATAGGGTTTTCGTTGGCTGATTTTCAGGGGTTGATAGCCAGACCTTTCTTTTCAGTCTGGAAGCTCTGCTGAAACCTGCTCAGCATCATAGCAAAATGCAAGCCTCCACTGACAGATGGGTGGTGTCTGCGCATGAGGTGCGTTGACTAGGACCTGAACACAGGTCTCCTGCATGGAAGATGAGAGTCCTACCACAGAACCACCACTGCCCCTCCCTCTCTCATTAGGATGTCTAAAATCTAAAACCTGGAAATCTAAATCCTAACCAATTCATCAAGACCAGTTCATCAGTTCATCTAGATTTTCCCGGAATGCTTTCCCTTCCCCAGCTACTCTTGAATTTTTTTGCGTTTCTTTATGCTTAAATATACAATTTGTACCAAACTGTCTTGCCTTTGTGTATATGTTGGCTTACAATTCTTTTTACAAAAGACAGTTACTCTCTGCTTAAATCCCTCAAATGTGAAATCTAGAATAAAGTCAAAGGCCTTCATATAGCAAAGCAGCCTGTTTACAACTTCTAATATATAATTTTTCTCCTGTTCTATATATGCAGGTCTTATTTCTCTCCCACTAGGTTGAAGACACGCCAAAAACAGGAACTGGTTATTCCGGTCCTGTTGTTTTCTTGTATGTTTGTTTGTTTTCATTAATGAGCACTTTACTATATGGCAGTGACAAATTTTGGAACCACAGCATGCCTAGGAAAGGTATAGACGAGAAGGATATAGTTCAGCAAATATCTCTAGAATCCAAGGTCAGCAGAATAAAAAAGCATTAGCAATAACCTTAGCCTCACTTCCAGCACTTGATACATCCTTGGTGCTTTCTCTTCCCTCCACCAGCCACTCACCACTGAGCTCATCTGCCATCGCTGCAGACCACGTTCCTGCCTTTCCTGTGGCCAGAGAGCCTCTGTTTTCTAACACACAACACCCACATACCCAGAAGGTAGCTAAACTCTATTTTCAGAATTTCTCAGCAGTTTGACATAAGAAGTAGGAGAAGGTGACCACAAATAAATTTTGTCAGTTAAGTGTAAGGTAGTCCTAATGACCGATCTCATATCTGTATGATCACATACATAGTGAGGACACATTTTTTAAGCAAAAGAAGAGTAATACATTTTATGAAAGGGACAAAGATCATGATCTCTCATCGAGGGAGCTTTTCTAAAACTTTCTGCATTTGAAGCTCTTTTACTGAAATCTCTGTCAGTCTGATGACTGGTGTGTTTTGAGAGTGGTAAGTTGGAGTTTTGGGGTTATTTTCTCTACCTCTAGCTATTTAAAAATCTGCCGAGACCAGGCACTGAGAATCCCCACTTTTGTAGCACTTCCGTCCCCCTGACTGTCTAGTACGGCAAGCAGAAAATAGCAAACGGAAAATAAGAGGTTGGAAGTTGACTGTGTTTTAAGAGTTCATGAACAATGTGTGAGGCACTCATGCCCCTGTACACAGGGGGGGCTCCCTTGCCCCTTTAAACCCCACCTTACTATGCCTTTGCTTCTTTTTCTCCTCCTTTCTCTAGGTTTCCCCTCTGATATGTGCAGTGGACACACTGTACCTTGTGGTCCCAACCTAATGCCTGTTGGCTTCATTTATTTTGACTATATAAATATGTTGCTCAGCATCTCCTGAGACTTCAGCACCGTATGGAACTGCTTGGGATAAGTGTTCTTAAAAAGGCAACATATCCTTCTTCACTTCTTTTTTCTTCTTCATTTTTTGAGAACTCTGGGAAGTAATTTTTAAAGTTTCTGCCTTTGTAACCCTTTCTTTCACCTGTTCTAGGTGAGAAGCGCCACTGCTTTGACGTCAACTATAATTCCAACTATATGTATGAGAAGGAGAGTGAGATAATACAGACCCGAATGATGGACCAAGCCATCAATAACGCTATCAGCTATCTTGGTGCGGAAGCCCTGCGCCCCTTAGTCCAGACACCGCCTGCTCCCACCTCAGAGATGGTTCCAGTTATCAGCAGCATGTATCCCATTGCCCTCACCCATGCTGAGATGCCAAACGGTGCCCCCCAGGACCTGGAGAAGAAGAACATCCACTTGTCAGAGAAGAGCATGCCTTCTGAAAGAGGCCTCTCCCCCAACAACAGTGGCCACGACTCCACAGACACTGACAGCAACCATGAAGAACGCCAAAATCACATTTACCAGCAAAATCACATGGTCCTTCCTCGGGCCCGCAATGGGATGCCACTCTTGAAAGAGGTTCCCCGCTCTTATGAACTCCTCAAGCCCCCACCCATCTGCCCAAGAGACTCCATCAAAGTGATCAACAAAGAAGGGGAGGTGATGGATGTGTATCGGTGTGACCACTGTCGCGTCCTCTTCCTGGATTATGTGATGTTCACTATTCACATGGGTTGCCACGGCTTCCGCGACCCTTTTGAGTGTAACATGTGTGGGTATCGAAGCCATGATCGGTATGAGTTCTCATCTCACATAGCCAGAGGAGAACACAGAGCCATGCTGAAGTGAACATCATCCTAGAGAATGCTCCTACTCAACATTGTTTTTAAGAACTGATACCTGCTACATAACAAATCACTCTCAGAACTAACTCAGTTCCAAACTCCTTTCCATACCATTTTTAGGATCCAAAGGGTCATGTTCACAAGGGCAGCCAGAGAAATGCTGTCTTCATTCAGAAATTGTTTGCAAGTCTATCGTGTTATTACTTTTGTGAAACCTTTCTTTTCCCATCAGACTTGAATTTTATGATATTTAAAAGCCAATGAAGTATTTGGTCATTACCTCTTGCAGCAATAGAAAGGCCGGGCATCCGCTGAAGTTTGTTGCCAGTCAGAACAGTTCCCCAGTCCCAAATTATAGTCTAAGGAAAAGAACAGCCGTAAGATAAATGGCTATTACCGGTGACTGAAGACCCTGTTCTTCAAGCATCAGATCCATTCGCTGTCAGTGCACAGGTAAAAAAAATAAGTCATCTGATAATACTTACGTTTCCACTGTTTACCCTCCCATCTCCAATTAAAAGCTGCTTTGGGTTAAACCAAATGTCTGTAGGAGAAATTTTATACCAGAAGAGCCAGTGGTCTTAAATATAGACTGTCATTGAAACTCTAGAAAGCTGTCCACTGTGGGTGACAGTATCCATTTCTTTTGATCAAGATTGGCAGAGTAGGGGCCTAAGAGGGGAAATGATTTAGCCATTCCAACTGGAGAAAAAAACCAGCTACCTAAAAGGACCTGGTCTCCTTCATGGAGTATTGGCATACAGAGCCAAAACAAACTTGCCAATGATTTTTTTTTTTTTTAATAAGAAATATCAAAGAATTCAAAAAGTGTGGTTTAGTCTTCCCCTCCCCACAGGAGAGGAATTGGGGATAGATGCCATGAGTGTTGTTAGATCAGAACCGAGCTTGATAATGGGATAAGGAGGGGAGTACCTCCGCTGAAGGTTCTCCTTGGTCAGGCAATTTTCCCACTATTTTAAATGAAGCTGCTGTATTCTAAGAAGATTCCTGAAAGTCTGATCTTGGGTCTGCAGATGTATCGGTCATCTTTATCATTAATAATTATGAGGGACATGCTGTCAGGGAGAAACGCTGGGATAATTGTAAAATTAGCACTGGAGTTGGGGGGGGGGTGTCACAAAAACTGTTAATTCCATATTTGCCACTAATTAGCTGTGTGACTTTGGGTGAATCTCTTAACTCTGAAAACTAAGTTTCCTCAACCATAAAATACGAGGTGGATTTAGATAATTGCTAAGATCTCTTCCAGCTTTAAATTAATGTAATTATGCAGTAACCACAAGTTATTTTTTAAACCCTTTAATTTATAGGTATTAAGCAGAAGAGTATGTGTATGACTAAATGTTGCACATTTCTTTAGTGTGAAAATGGTAATGTGTTCAATTTTTCCTTTAACCATTGAGTTGTGAATATGAAGAGAATGGTGGGGAGGAACAAAAAACAGGAAGGTATTTTGATCTTACCCCAAAGTGTACATACAAACTGGCACCTGCAGCTGCTTGCCAAAACCTTTTTTTTTTTCTTTTTAAGAACTTGTATTCCAAACCAAAACCCACTGCCGTCAAGTCGATTCCAACTCATAGCGACCCTACAGGACAGTAGAACTGCCCCATAAGGTTTCCAAGCCTCTAAATCTTTACAGAAGCATACAGCCACATCTTTCTCCCATAGAAAGTCTGGTGGGTTCAAACTGCTAACCTTTTGGTTAGCAGCCAAGCATTTTGACCACTGTGCCACCAGGGGTCAGAACTTGTGTTAGGGAAAATAAGTTCTTCTTCCAGGGACAACTTCATGGAACCAATTTACAAATTAAAGTCACCTTTGTGAACATTTCTACCAGAGCCAAGAATCCCAAATTCCTGGCAGATTAGTGCTTTATGTATCTGCCTTGATATTTCTAAAGGGCTTATGCATTAGGTCCACACTCAACTCATTTGTGTGCTGCCAGTAATTAAAACATTCCACCTTAGACTGCACAAATGGCTTATCCTTCTTTGTAGCATGGTATCAGTCTCAGGGAAATAGGTTTTATGAGATATCATGGCGACAATCCCAACATGTTTGAGATTTCAGCTAAAGGACTAGATGTATTTTGGTCCATAGTCTTCAGTGTATCACTGTCTTTCCATAATACTAGACCTGAAGATATGCCAGATTGTTTATACGCATTGTAAAAGAGGAGCTGCTTATTATATTTTTGAAATATCACACATCCTGTTGACTCTTTGAGAATCAAGAGAAAGAGAATTTGGAAGCAGGGATTAATAGGAATGAAAGCTTGGGAAAGAGAGTTATTTCTCCCACATCAGTGGAAAACCGTTTGCTGAAGAAATCAACCTATGCATCTCAAAATGGTGAAGCTAAGGCCCATCCCACCAACCTGGCGACACTTTTTATAGCTATAACTCCCTTTTTCCTGTGACTAATGGTGTTGCTGAATGGTTTCTATTCTTCTGAGGTCAGTATTCTGAGTGGGGCGACCACTCACAAAGGCTACACTTTCAGTGTAGCATTCTAAACTTAGATTGGGGCACACCCATTCCAAAGAAGATTTTTATGTGGAAACTCCACATTCTCAAGGCTTAAAGTTGAGCCAGGATGGTATGCATTGGCTTCCACCACGCAGGTAAACACTTCTTCTGTACTTACTCTTTGTACTAATTAACAACTCCCCTTGCTGGGAGTGGTGGGGGGTAGGGAGTGGGAGGAGGATCCTACAAGATGGCTACAGAGCAGAGCGGGTTCAGGGCTAGCATCTGACCCTGCTGAGTGGTGAAGTCCTCTAGCAGCTTCAGGCAGCACATTGACTTTCTCAGTCCCTCTGAACACGAGCTCAGTAGATCGTCTTCCTTTCTCACCAGCCCTCTTGTTAGGCAGCCCTCCCACCACACACCCAGGAGGCCACAATCTGAGGAGCAGTCAAACACATTGGAATGTCCCTTGCAGCCAAGGTGACAGAATTGGGTAAGGGTGGAAAAGGAAGAGAACCAGCTCACCAAATATTCTCCTGTCACTATTTGAAACGTCGCATAGGTACTTCCTACTGGCAAAGAACTAAATAGAAGTGTCTCCCCCATGGCCCTCCACCACCATCACCAGAAAAAAAGAGAAACAACAAAAGATATTAGTAAGTCCACCAGTCTTTAGATTTTGCTTTGGTACAGATAAGCTAGCTAATCTGATGTTTTGTTACCCATTCAGAGTGGTTACTGACTCAGCTTCGACTGTCTCAGTGACAAAATATCTCACCTTTAAAATTCAGTGCTCAACATTTTGCTAGGTCCATACTCAGAGTGGCCCAGATATAAAATGACCTCAGATTTCTTTTGCAAAGAGAAATGTCTAAAAACAACATTTTACTCAGTTGTAACACTGTGTTAACAAATTTAATGAGCATAAAGTTTTACAAATAACATCACTATTCTTATGTTCTCCTCCACTTTTTTTTTTTCTTTTTGTCCCCTGAAGAATGTGAGGTCTAGACTGTTTTAAGGGAAAAAGCAGTATTTCTGATATACATCCCAAAGCAGACGATAAGACTATAATGGAAACATTTCTTTAAAGTTCTAACTTTAAAGTATATCCCACTGAGAGAAGGTATGGTGACCTCTAAGGGAAGTTTGGAAACTCCAGGCCAGTCCGATTTGTAAAAGAGCTTGGACATCTCTTGAAGACTCAAAAGCTCAGAATTAGGACTTGTGAGCTCATGAGGAAAGAAAAGAAGAGTGGTGAAAATTTTGTCCTAGAAAATAGCATCAGAAGCAGAATTAGATATACAGTGCTACCTTTTATAGAATTGGAAGCTATTTTTTGTGCTCAGACAGAAAGCATAGTTCAGAGAATTTCTATGGCAGGCTTCAGAAAACCAGAACAATTTGGGATTTAAATGACTGTAAAGAGGACAATGTTGACCTGAACCCAAAGGCCAGATCTGGGCCATCGTAGGAAAGGGACTGTGCTCTCTAAGACTGAAGGACTGAATAGTTCTGAGAATGATCAGTGAACCAGGGTTGGGGACTCCTGACTCCTGACTGTGGACGCAGGAGAGTCTAGAAGAGACTGTGGGCTGTAAACTTGTGTGAGCTCATAAAGTAATACAGGATGTACCTCTGACTTACCAAGCTTTATGTAGTTTGTACCCTGCCATGCCATCAGTACGATAAACAGGTTTTTTGCACTTTGAAGCAGTTGGATGGGAGTTTCCTCTATTACAATAGTGGACTGTCTTACACATTTATTGATTGAGTTGCTACTTGAAATTGGAATGTAAGTGTTATGATTAAAAATGTAAGGCCATAACAATACCTACCTCCCAAAGATGTTGTAAGGTTTTATATAATTTTGTCTACGGGATAATGTCACTTTGAGGGGTGGGTTATATTGGATGGTTGCAGATTTTCCACTATATATACTATGTCTAGATTAAAGACATGAAAAATATTCAAAGACCATACCAGGACCATAATTGTCAGTTGCCAATGGAGGCAACTGATCTCTACCACACAACTGCCTTCACATTGTTTTAATACATAAGGGTAGAGAATCTGGTGAATCTTGGAACTAGCGTGAGTTAACCCCATGCTACAGACACTTCATGGCATTGCACCCAGTGAAGTAGAATAGCTTTGCTCCCTCACCCTCCCATGAGACTTCAACCATTAGTTCCCCAAGCAAGTTTCCTCAAATGGTCCTCACTATCTATCTCTCCACTGGCCCCACTCCAGAAAGCCTGGAGTAACAGCCCCACAGTGCCACCCACCTTCTCTCCAATCCTTTACCACACATCTGTGGGGACTACTTCATATTCCAAATGTAAGTGCAGCTTTGCTTCTTCCTCTCTTGAAAAGACTGAGGACAAACATTTTAACATGTTAGGAAAATGGGGCAGCTGTAAAAATGACTGATCCCATTTCCAGTGACTCATTTACACAAGGACTTTTCCAGGTTAGCAGACAAGGCCCTTTTCTGTGGGCCTGCTTCTGTGGGTTTGCAGAAACCAAATTACTGTGGGTTGCAAAGAATGAGCAGGTCATTTAAAAAGCAGACATCCCTTCACCCAGACTGTGGTTTTGCATGCTCAGGCTCTCTGTCTGTGAGCTTTGGTGAGGGATCATTTTGGCTACTGGAAAAACCAAAGCTTATTTTTAATTTCTGGTTGCCAAAGCCGCCACACGTGTGGTCTGTGGATGACCCTTGTCTGCAGAATGGTGGGGGAGGCAGTGAGAGCAGAAGGGGGTTTGTGGCTCAGGGTGGCTTTCCCACCAGGAGTGAGGGAGGGAGCCTTTGCAGAGGGTTTTGACACAGCCTGTGCTCACACTCCCTCCCATCTGGGTTTCTCAGAAATGCCCTCCCTGCCTGTAGTGACCTTTTCTCTTGACTCTCTGGAATTTTACCTGAAGTCCAACGATATGGAGCACGTCACGTGCCCCATTCCTCTGTAAAGATTGTTTAAAGAAAGACTGCTTGTGAAATGTAGCAATGCTCACCCTTGCCAGAACCCTAATAAATGCATCATCGCATCAAAAGCAACCTTGCTGATAGTTTTCAAGTTTTTTTTTTAAATCAAGTTTGATTTTTACACTGAAAAATAAATACTGATGTGTTTAAAATTAGTCATTGTTCATGCCTGTCATTTGTAGTTGCTGCTGTCAGAGGATGGAAGGGTTTCATTCTGCCCCTAGGAATATTGTCTTAATTTAGCCCCTGTGGCTATTTCATAAAGTCCAAGTATCAAGATAAATGGAATTGTCACCTAAATAAAGCATCTCGCCTGACACCTTGCTGAGCCTGCCACTGGTATTCTACTGCTGGCCCCTAACCCCTAGAACGGGGTTCTGGTTCCACTGATCCTCAGTACACTAAAGGAACCCGAGGAGATTAAGGGCCTGGACTTAGCAGGATCAACACATTGAGCACAGCGTCTCTACTCCAAACCACAGCTTCACTGTCCCTCCCTCCCAGCACAGATTCTTCCTGAAAGACAGACGAGTCTTGACTTGTTCATCCACATTGGGAAACTCAAGATAGAGAACATTTAAATACAATTTTTAGATAGTTGGAGACCCAAACCTAGGATGTTGGGGGAAACTCCTATGAACATGGCACACCAATTGGACAGCTTTCTCCTTGTCTTAATATCTTGTGTTCTCCCTTAGAAAATATCAGAAGAAAGTTTAAGAGGTGGTCTGGCCTTCTTCTCAGCCACATCCAAAGCACCTTTCCTTCCCTTTCCCCTCTTCCGTTGAAGAGGCAGAAGGGTATTTCTGAACTTCAGCGTTAGCAAATGTGGGGCCATGCTGGTGGAAGCTTTTGCTGGCTCATTGTCCCCTTCCCTTCAGTGCCACCCAGACTGCTCAGAGGATCTCCAGCAAGTTTTCAGTTTCAACACAAAGGATAGGGAGAGAGGCAGGGTACAGGGGCCTGCCTTTGTATTTTGGCATTAAATGCATTTAAAAATGGCCTTTCAGTAGCTGGTTTTCAGCCTTGGATAGAGTGGCATGTGGCCTTCCCCATCCCACTTCCTTCCCAAAGCGGAAGCTGCTCAGGGAGAAAAGAGGGAGATAAGGAGACACTGGTCCCCTTTGCCAATGAGCAGTGGGGAGACCCTCCGTGGATGACTTGTGCTGGGGTTAGGGCTGAATGGGCTTCCTTCCATCCTGAGGATAGTTTCTTTTTCCAATTCTTGGGAATTAATTTGATGCTTTATAGAGTGTGGTGGGCCTGGCAATGGAGGCCACCACACCTGCACCCTCCTCCTCCCTTCCCCCATCACTCAACACACCAGATCCTTCACACAGGCTTTGGTGCCAAAACCACCTGCAGGCAACTGCCACCCGAGGGCAGGCAAGAGGAAAAGGACCTAGCTCCCTTCCCTCTTCTCCCATCCCCCAGAATCCAGAGTCTGAGGAAGAGTGGAAGTGAGAGCCCTGGGAAGGCCTAGAACACTGGCCTGAGTGGGTGGGAGCACATACGGCCCAGGCACAAGTTCTGGCTGCAGAGCATTCCCGGCTCAGACAGTTGTTTGCATAAAAGCCAAAAGCCACTGCACCTGGTGTGAGAAGGCCCCCTGGGGAGGTACTCCCTGGCTTGGGGGAGAGGGGGGAAGGAAGGTGTCATGGAAAGTCCCTGAAGGACACGGGGTGTTGAATTCACTGCGGTTTTGTTTTAACTCTGTCTTGACCTGTGAAGTAGGCAGCTGCCTCCCTTCCCCCTAAATAACAGACCTTCCCCCAGAATAACATGCACAGACCCTAGGAAAGCACACTTCAGTGGAAAGAATGGAGGTTAGAAGGCCTGTGGGTGATGTAAACTGCCCCCCTTCCCTAGGAGTGAGGGGGCAGGAAGCCCCAGAACAGTCCTTTCCCATCACCTCACCTCCCCCCCTCAACCCTCTGGCCCCCTGGCCCAGAAGAGCTGCCTAGTCAAATAAACCACAGCCCTGGGGGTGGCGATGGGAACTAGGGGGGCAGATGTCGCCTCCTCCCCCAGGCTTGTCCTTCCACCAGCTTAATCCCCATCCCACCCCCACTGGAATTACATTCTCAGCACCTCCACCTCCCTCTCACACAGACTTTAGCTGCCCCTCCCAGACTGGGGAAAGGGGTGGGGGGAGGGTGTGTGGTGTGTGTTTGGACAAAATGGATGGACAGAACCAGTGAATCCAGCTCAGCTCCTAAGTCTGAATAACCATGAGGCAGCCTGATGCAGACTCCGATTCCAATCCCAGCCCTGCCGCTCTGGGTGACCCTGGGCACTTTGCTTTCCTCTCTGGGCCTTAATTTTCCCTGGAGTCAAGGATCTCTAAAGTTCCCTCCAGCTGGGACTGTAAGCCTGGTCCCAACCCCATTGCTCCAGCCAGGCTCCAGACCTTTCCTCTAACCTCAGAAACGGGAATATGGGGAAGAGGAGCTGAGCCTGGGTGATGGTGGCCGGCGATTTTCCCAAGTGGCCATTTTTTTAAACCATTCTATCCTGCCAGATGAATTCCAGTCCTGGCCCACAAAGGGGGGATGGGCAGGGAGGTGACAGATTCCTGTCCCTTCACCTGTGGAATTGTTAGAGGCTCTGAATATGGGCCCTGAGGCTGGGTCTGAACTCCCTGTCCTCTCTCAGGTTCTCGTCTTAATTCTGCGTAGACCCAGACACCAGATTCCCGGCTTTGGGTGCCAGGGAGAGGAAGGCAAAGGCTAGGCGGGAGTGTAGGTGGGGGAAGGGGTGCGGTGTGAGGTGGGAGTTGAGGGGGGTGTGAGGGGAGGGGCAGCTGCACTTCTGAGAAACAGCTCGGCGTCTCAGCAGCCCGCAGCCTAACCCCTTGCCTGCGGCTTCACAGCTCGCTCCTCCTGCCGCCCACGCCGCTCGGGGCCTCTCCGGGGGTCGGCAGCCCCGGCGGAGGCGGTGGCTGCTGAGGAGGAGCGGCGGCTCGGGGGGATAGCGGAGCGGAACCGATGGGGAGGGGAGGTGGAAAATGGAGAAAGGTGTGGGTCGTGTGACACCTCAGGAGTGAAGACCATCGCTCACTCGGGGTCCCGGGCGCGGGACCTCGGCATGCCCACGTGGCCCTACCCCCCCAGGTACTCTCCCATCACGCCCGCAGCAGGATCCAGAAGTGAAACCGGCCGGGGTCACAGCCCAGCGCCGTCGCTCCGCCTCGCCCCGCCCTTCCGGGCACTGCAGCCTGGCAGGATCCCCCAGCGCTCCGGCGACAGCAGGAGAGGAAGCTGGGGGAGGGAAAGGGGAAGTGCCCCGCAGGGCAGTCTGCTCAGCGCGGCCTCCTCGCCTCGGGGGTACCCGCTCCTAACCACCAGTGGGAACCTCGAGACGCGCCGGCCTCAGTACCTGGAGCTGAGCGAGCTGCGCCGGCACTTCCTGCGGCGGCCGCTGGGTGTCACTGCAGCCACGCGACTGAGCGGCTCGGCGCCGCTGGGAGGCCGGGACGCGAGAAGCAGAGGCCGCTGTCCGCCTCCCGCAAGGCCTGCCTGGCCCTCGCACCTCGAGGCCCCACGCGGCTTGAATGCGGTGCTCGGACCTCCCGCCACCCTCCTGCCTAGTCTCTGGAGGCCCCCGTGCATCCCACCGACACACAGGGAAGAACTCGCCCGGCGGCGGAGCACGTGGACTCATTGGGCCTTGGGACAGAACGCACGGCCTCCGCGGGACAGGGTTCGAGGGGCGCCACGCCAGGACGCGCGCCCCCTGGCTAGGCGGGCGGGCCTTCCCGCCGCAGAGGCGCCAGGAGCGTGCCGCGACCAACCGGAGGTGGCTCTGTGGACCTTGGCTCCCGCCAGCTCCTCCTACGTCTAGGCCGGTTTT